GGGGGGGGGGGGGAGGGGGAGGGGGAGAGTGTGGAGGTGTGTGTATGGGGGGGGAGAGGGTATGGTAGTGAGCGGGTTCGTACTGTTTTCGTACTGGCGCTGGTGGCGGGTGGTGGTGAGGTGGTGGAGGGAGACGGGCGCACGAGCGGGTTACGACGACTGTGGGACGGGATACGGGTGATTCAGGACATCGAAGTATTTTCATTATTTTTCTTTTCTTTCGGGGTGGAGGGCCACGGTATGTGCATGGCCTACATCTTCCAAAAGAGAAAGTCGCCATACTCATCAGACGGCGCCACGGCGTCGTCGTCCTCTCCTGAGTGACCACCGGAAAGACGTAGTCGACCCGCTCCTTGAGCTCCTTGTAGGTGGTGGACGGGAGGTTCTCGCGGACGACCTTGCCGCGGTGGTCGATGATAAATGTGCGAGAGGTGGGGATGCCGACCTCGGCGTAGGCGATGGCGTCGGTGATTCGGTTGCCAAAGCCGGCGTGGAACGGGTTGACCTGGGCCGGGAAGACCGAGCGGAGCGAGCGGAGGCACGCGATCTTGAACTCCTCGGGCTTGCGGAGAATGACCTCGCGGTGAAACGAGGTGAAGAGCCGGTCAGGCGAGACAAGGATGGGACCCGGCGGGAGGTGGACGCCGTCCTCGGAGACCCAGTCCATGTACGACCGTGTGAGGCCCATTTGCCCGATGGCGCGCGAGGAGAGAAACACGATCTTGTAGCCATTGGAGACGATGGCGTCAAAGAGTTTTGACACGCCCGAGTGAGCCCACTGGACGCCGAGGACAGGGAGGACGTGACCGAGCGCATCCGACGAGGTCACTGTTCCGTCGAGGTCAGAGACAACCACCCGCGAGTTCGTTGCGGACCACAGGTAGAGAAACGCGCGCTGCTCACACGTCCCGCGCCAGCCGCGGACCACAAAGGTGAGCTCGTTGGCGCCGTCGTGCAGATCAAGCGAGGCCAGTTCTTCGGGCGTCGGAACCAGCCGCTTCTGTCGCCGCTGCATCGTCAGCGCGTCCTCGGCAGCCACACATGCCTCAGCGTCCTCGGCGCTATCATTTTCTCCGCTCTCTCCGAGCTCGCCTGACGGCACCGACGGCATCGATGGCATTGATGTCGAGAGCGGATTGGTCGGCAGTGGCGGTGTGCTACTCGCCTGCGGCGTCAAAAACGCGTCGTTGCCAGAGTCAAAGCTCAGCTCTGGTTGGCCGTCAAATGCATCGGCAGGGAGCGGGCGGTTGAACAGAACCTTGGCAAAGATGATTGGCGCCGCCACCGACCACACATAGAACGAGTCGTTGATGCGGAAAATGTGCGAGGCGTCACGGGTGTGGGTCACCGGGTCGGCGGCAAAGGCTTCAAACGAAATGGCGTGGGCGTCAAAGATGGCACACGCCTCGGCGTAGCTCAGACCCGTGGCTTCGTCACTGGTCAGCAGCTCACCGCATGCTGAGAGTTCGACGCGGACCGAGCCGCCATTCAAAAGCGCAGTGAGCTGCGCCGGCGACGAGGCCTGCGTCGAGTCGGTGACGTTGCCAGTACCGACCGGCGCCGACGACGTCGACGCGTCGCCGTGACTTGTGGCGTCGCTTTGACCGGCCTTGTCGGCCCGAGACGTTGTCGACGACGACGAAAAGAAAAGCGACTTGATGAACGACGACCAGCCACGCGAGCGCCGCGGCGACGCCGGCGTCCGCGTCATCAGTACCTCGCGGACTGATGTGTTCATCTCGTCGTACTTTTCGGTTGCCGGCGCGGTGCTCATGTCTGGCAGCGAGCGCGAGATGAGCTCTGGCGAAGCTGAGACTGCTCGCTGCTTGAGGGTGGCGACCCGCCCCGAGCCGTGGCGATGGAACGAGCCCGGAACGTGGATGCCAGCGTCGACGCCCGCAGCCTCCTCGCGCCGCTCGGGTCCCTCGCCCCACTGCCACTCCCATCGCCGTGACGAGCGCGGAATGTCAGTCTCGAGCACGCCATCAGACCGCGGCGAGAGCGCGTCAATTGCGGGCGAGTTTGTCGCCACGCTGCTCTGTTGCGACAGGTTGTGGGCAGCAACACGCTCAACACTCAGCGGCGCGAACCGCCCGCTGGCGCTGTCTGTGCTCTCGCGCTCTGGCGAGCCATTTGTAGAGTCTTCGTCAAAGGCGAACATGGCCGGGCCGGCGAGATCGTCGTCGTCTTCATCGTCGCCGTCGTCGTCGTCGTTGCTATTGTCATCGTCGTCGGCGTCGGGGTCGTCGGTCAGCTCGCCATTGATCGAAGCTGCGGTGGAAGAGACCGGCGACGGCTCGGCCGAGGCGAGGCGCGACTCGGGCAGGACAAGCTCGCCGCTCGGCCCGCCAGAGATGGAGTCATCACGAATAACAGCATGTGGCGCCGGCAGCGCGATGTCACTACTGGTCGAGTCTGGTTCATCGTCCGAGTCAAGCGCGTTGTTTGTCTCGGTCTCACCTCCGCCCGCGCTTCCGCTAGCCGCCGCCTCGAGGTGAGCCGCCTCCTCTTGCGAGATAAAGTAGGCTTCGCCGGCATGGCCGACGACCATGGCCAGGTCCGTCTCCTTGTCATTGACGCGAATGCGGACCACAGGGGTGGCGGATGCAGAGAAGATCTGCATCTTGCCAAAGCGGACATGCCACGGCGTCGACTCGATGTGACCGTCCGGGTGCTTTGTAGCCACCACATCGATGGCGCCCGAGAGTGTCGCAGGGTTGATGTCTGTCAGCGCCGAGACAACCGATTTGAGGCCTCGAACAACAGCAGACATGCCGATTCAACTAGCCGTGTGTCTCGCGCTGTGGGATCGTTTCCTGACAACATGTGAGTGACAGCAGAGTGAGGCGCGTCAAGTATGCGGAGGAACAGGGGGCGGGGGGGGGGGGGGGGGGGGGTGCGGGAAGCGGGGAGGCTCGTTGGACAGGCAGAGCAGAGAAAGGGATGAAGAAGGTAGCGAGGTAACATACGTTATGCAAGTGAGTGTCTCTTCACCTGCAGCCGGCTTTGTATGAAAGTGTCTGGCTGCAGGCGTCGAGAGCGGTGGTGAAGGCGTGCGGGTTAGGCGAAAGTGGCGGAAGATCCAGTGTGCTCCGTGCTCTTTCGGTTGGTTTGCGGCGAGATTGGGACATTTGGAAGGCGGGCGGGTGGGAGGGAGGCGATGGTGTTAACTTGATGACGCAGAAAGGAGCGACTCAACTTGAGATCGAGCAGTTCGGAAGACGTGCTTGGCGGTTGGCCGATCGTCGGGGTTGGTAACCAGCATCGAGTCGACGAGCGAACGCAGGGCCTCCGAGTAAGTGTCCTCTGGAAGCGGGGCATAGTCTGCGGCGGTGATGATGGACATGAGCGAGATGAGGTCGATGCCTTCGCGGAAGAACGGGTTGCGGAGAGCAGCCATCTCGTAGAGGATGCAGCCGAGCGACCAGATGTCTGCAGCCATGTTGTAGCCCTCCTCGGCGATGCGCTCGGGTGCCATGTAGAAGGGCGTGCCGACCATGGTAAACACGTGTCCAGTGGTGGACGAGAGCTCGCGGCCGAGGCCCATGTCGCCGAGCTTGGCCTTGCCGCCCGACGAGACAAAGATGTTTGCCGGCTTGAGGTCACGATGCATGATCTTCCGCTCGTGCATGTAGCGGAGGCCGTTGCAGATCTGAAAGTAGACCTTCCAAATGGTCCGCTCTGCCAGCGGAGTGTTTCGCGCCCTTGCCTTTTCGATGATCCGTCTCAGATCGCCACACTGGGCGTACTCCATAACAATGTACAGGTTGTTGGTGTTCGAGTCGATAAACGAGTCAAAGTACCGCACAATGTTCGGATGGTTGAAGCTCTGCGCAAGTGTGCCGACAAGGCCAAGATGAGAGGCATGCGGGGTGTGAAGGGTGTGTGTGTGGGGGGTGTGGGGTGGGGGTGTGGGGTAGGGGGGAGGGGTGAGTGTGGCATGTGGTATGTGGAGGGGGTGGCGGTGGTGGGTGAGGAGGAGAGAAGGAAGGCAGGGCAAGCAACGGGTAAAGTACCTTGAGAAGCTCGACCTCATGGAGAATGGACTCCCGCTCTTCTTTGGAGTTTGAGAAGATATCAATTTCCTTGATGGCCACCACCTCGTCTTCCTTATCTACTGCATGTGCTTGGTAGACTGCTGTGGAGAACATGCCCTGTCCAATCTTCTTGGCAATGACGTAGTCGCCCACCTGCTCACCCACCCGGTTGCCCACACCACGTTCACTGCTCATGGTAGTCTCGGACCTGAGGCAGCGGGTGAAGCGGAGTTCGTGTTGTGACAAAAAAGGGTGTGTCGCGTAATGGACGGGGGTAGAGTCGAATGGTCGTAGCACGGGGGCGGAGGTGGGCGTGTGAGGGTGGTGAGGGCGGGGGCGGGTGTGAGGTCTGGGGGGAGTGGGGACACGGTGGTGGAGCAACTGCACGCGATGACTCATGGTCATTGAACCATGGCGCCTTGATTCTGCCGAGTGACGGGTGGCGGTCGCGTTGTGTGCGGAGAGGCTGCGAAAACAAAGCGCTCAAGCGGCGAATGGTCATGTTCCTTTGCAGTCGGCGTGCGTGGCGCCTGGGAGGAGAGCGAGACGGAGGCGCAGGGGGAGGGAGGTGGAGAGAGCGACGACGGGAAGTGACGACACTCAACTATTAAGCCTCTCTCCCTCTTCAACACACTTGTGCCTCCTGTGTTCGCCAAAGGACGATAGCTATGTCTTCTGGAGGAGCGGCGCCCGACAAGGGTAAGGGCGAAGCTGGAGCGAGCTCGGCCGGCGACAAGTCGGTTCTGGAACAGGGCGTGGCGCTGGCCAAGGCCAACCCTGCCGCAGCAGCAGCGACTGGAGCGGTGGCATCTGGCTTTCTTGTCGCTGCCGGAAGAGCTGCATTCCGTAGGCTCAAGCGGTACTCGGCAAGGAAGCGGAACCAGATCGACCGCATCGAACAGGCGTACAGAGTAAGTTTTTGAGGCGAGGAAGAGTGAGGGGGAGGAGGGAGGAGGGGGGGAAGGGGAAGAAGTCGTCGGCAGCCGGGAGCACAAAGGCTTCGGATGACTCATACCTCCCGATCTCTCGGGTCTCTCCGTCTCTGGTCGGCGCGACGGCACGCTTTTCATCTACGCTGCAGCTGTACATCAACGAGGACTTTAACGCGGTGAAGCAGTTTAAGTTCAAGCGGCAGTACGTGCCCAGCTACGCAGTCTCGCGGGTCTCGTTCTCGTCAGATGCGTACCGGGCTCGGCTCTCGCGAAAGTTGCCGGTGTTTGACTCGCTGTTGCGGACGATTTGCTCGTACCAGGCGGCGCGGGCGCGGCGCAAGACGCGCAAGGGCAAGCTCTCTGATCCGACCCACCTGTTTCTGGATGAGCTCAAGGACTGGATCGTGGCGTTTTCGTCGTCGCCGATGGATACCGAAGCGAGCCTGCAGGAGGCCGAGGCGCGGCGCGACTATGTAGAGCATGTCATCTTTTCGGGCTTCTTCTACCCGTCGAAGCACTTTAACTGGACAACCGAGACGTTTGAGCAGACGGTCCTGCAGGTGTTGGCGATTCTCAACGATACGCTCATCCCGCTCATCCGCAACGGCATTGCTGACCTCTCGGTCTCGTACCAGCTCTCGGAGCTGTCGGACAAGGTCAACATGCTCATCAACGAGTCGGCAAAGTACTGCATGCGGGTCTTTGCCGACACGGATGACCTCTCGCGGACGCTCGACGTCCTCTACCGCGACGTGGACAACCTCAACTCGCAGTACAAGACCGCCATCACGCTCACAGTCCGCGAGCTGCTGACCTCGCCGGACGCACGCGTGGCGCTGGAGCGGGCGGACGATGTCCGCTCGCTCACCGAGGACGAGTACATGCGGCAAGGCCACCCGCTGCCGGCCAACTTTTTCGTCGACCACCGCGGAGCCTCGATTGTGCCACCGGGTGTGTTCCTTCGGTACAAGGCTGCGGTCCCATCGGTCGACACCTCGCCACGGTACTTTTTCGATCAGATCGAGCAGGCGTCCGGAGTCGCGTCGGGCGTGCTCCCGCTCTTTCTGCGCGACCCGCTGGTCATGGAGACCTTTGTCTCGTTGCTTGGACGGCTGCAGCACCTTGCAGCGTGCAAGGATCTGTTTGCGCAGGCGGTCCAAGTCGCCAACACCGGCGGTAACCTCTCGATCTGCGGCCACCGCGAGGTCAACACCCACCTGGGGTACCTCCTCCGAATTGTCTCGGCGCTTGTGGCCGAGATCCGGTCTGCGGTGGGGCGCATCAACCTCGCCGCCGACGAGGCGATCTGCAACATTGTCTCGGCGCCGTACGAGGAGGGCCGCAAGGCCGACCTTGTCAAGTCGATCGCCAAGTCGCGGCGTAACTCGTACAAGGAGCACTACAAGGCGGTCCTCACCTCGCGACAGCAGATTGAGACGCTTGTCAAGGAGGCACTGGCCACGGTCTCACCCATCCTGCAGGAGCTTGACAAGGCGTCGGTCGGCGACCTGGTGGCGGAAGCCTCGGAAGCCGTCGACAAGTTCACCAGCCACGTTTCACGGCTTCTCGGCGATGCCAAGGACACTAGTGCGGCGTCGGCATCGCGGGCCTCGGCTTCGAACACGGTCGCCATCACCAAGAACGACGACGTCGCCACAGCGGCAGCGGCAGCAGCGGCGGCGCCCGCGGCACCCAGCGCGCCGGCCGTTGTCGCTGCCACCTCGTCTTCGGCGCCTGGCCTCATCCCCAGTGATGACCTCGCGAGCGCGCCAGTCGACACCGACACGCTTGTTCGGCACATCGAGCTGCGGCACCTCAAGCTCGACGATGAGCTCTCGCGGCAGATGTGCGAGCTGCAACTCATCCCCCACCGGGCCTCGGTTGTGGACGTTGACGTCTCCAAGTGCACCATCTCTCCCGGAGCTACCGCTAACCTCTGCGATGTCTTTGCCAACTGCCCCAACCTGCACCGGCTGCGGTTCTGGAACGCACATCTCGGCGACGAGGGCGCCGCTGCGGTAGCTGGCCTTCTCTTCCGCGAGGCACGGATGGCACCGCGGCTGGCCTCGCTCCGGTCGGTCGACCTTAACGAGAACAACCTCGGTCCGGACGCGGCGTTTGCCATTGCTGACGCGCTCAAGGCCGGGGCACGGATCAAGTGGCTTGACCTCGGGTACAACCACATCGGCGACTCGGGCGCAGCTGCGCTTGCGCAGGCGCTCCACCATCAGCACCACCTGCAGGGTCTTGTCCTACAGAACAACGACATCGCCGATGCTGGCGCCGCCGTCCTCGCCAACATGCTCATGTCTAACGTCGCGCTCCGGCACCTTGGCCTCCAGGCCAACGCCATCTCGGACCTCGGCGCGCTCACACTCGCCGACGCGCTCGACCTCAACCGTACCGTCACCCAGCTCTTCCTCAACGAGAACCTCATCGGCGATGAGGGCGCGACCCGACTCCTCGGCGTCATGCGCGACCGCGAGCGTGTCCTCGTCTCGGTCTGCAACAACCGCCGTGTCAAGGCCGGCCTTGACGCCCAGATCCGCGACTTTGAGGATCGCGTCCGTCGCACCGTCTACCAGGACTATCTCCAGGAGATGGACATGTAGTGAGTGCAAGTCAAACACCAGTGTGCAGCAGGAGAGTGCTGTAGTCGCACCGCGGTCGGGCACCACCGCCACTCGACTCACGGCCAAGGCCGAGCGAGGCAAGCCCACGCCGACCACCACCACGCTTACCACCATGACCACACCAAGAGCACCACACACGCCCCTCGTCCAAGCCATGTCGTCGTTTCAGGCACTGGGCGAGTTCCCCACCCGTCTCACCCTGTCCCCATCCGGGCAACCTGTGCGCCTCCTCGACACCTCGTCGGCGCCCCTGCCTCCTGGTCTCTGGCAAGCACTGAAGGAGCAGGCGGCGGGAGGAGACAGTACCCAAGAGGATGGCAACACTCGTCGTCAAGGTGGAGACATCGACGAGACCAAGGTTTTGCCCCGATGGAGCCATGGCGGTGTTGGCGGTGGCAGTCCACCCAGTGATGGGCACGCCATCAAGCTCGATGACACTACCACCAAGGACAACGCGGTGCGTGGTGTGCGTCATGCTCCGGCGCGCGAGGAAGAATCACATGTTGGTGTCGGTAGCACTGCGTTTGCGGCATCCGAACTCATCGCTGCGCCTGCAACGGGCGGGGCGCCCATTGCTTTTGCTCTCGCGGGGCGGAGGCCTGGCTCGCGGAAGCGCAAGTTGCTGAGGGCCGATAATGACGCTGTCGTGGGCGTGCCGCCGTCAGAGAGCCCACCGGCGCTTGATGCGAGCGAGTCAGAGTCGCCGCCAAGCAAGCGTCCACGCCCGCTAAGGCGATCGGAGTCGCCACTGACTTCGTCGCCACTGGCCCGGCACCACCTCCCCCCTGAGCTAACTCGCATTGCGCCAGAGCGGCCGCGAGCCAAGATGAAGCTTGAACACAATCTAGCGCTGCCGCTGTCACTGCACCTGGCCCCAGCGGCGAATCGCGAGTCGCTGTTCTCGGCCGGGCCTCGGGCGGTTTACCCAGGCAAGGCGCGCCGCGGACGGACAGGAGCGGTCAAGTTGGAAACGACCGTTGCGATGGCGTCGGCAGCTGGGCTGGCTAGCGGCATCCGTGATGCGGCCCCGAATCCACAGACTGTGCCGCCGATACTCCCGACATGTCTGCCGAGTCTCGGCTGGCCTGGCAAGTTGCGCGCGAGGGCGGTCGAGTACTGGGTACCAAGCGAGGTGGGCGAGCTTCCGCACGAGCCACGATGTGTGGTGTACTGGGTGCGGAGCACAGCACGGACGGCGCACAACTGGGCGCTGCATGCAGCGATGCGCGAGGCCGAGGCTACGCGACTGCCGCTGCTGGTAATCGCACTCGTCAGCACGAACGAGGCTGCGACTGTGAACGCGGTGATGCAGTTCCTTGCTGTGGTTGCCGACCGTTGGCGAGTGCCGACACTAGCGATGATGGTTCCACCCAAGGTCGATGACCATGTGGGTCTGTTGCTCCAACTCCTGACCGCCTTTGCACCGCTCTACGTCTTTACTGACGTCCCGCTTGCTGGACCGGCCGATCCGCTGCTGGAGGCTGTTGCCGCGCAATTGGCGGCAAACGGCAGTGCACCGCTGTTTGGCTTTGAATCTGACGCATGTCTTCCGCACACGGCACTTCCGCGGGCGCGGGTGGTGCCCAAGGCGGAGCTCGGCGCCGCGCTCGAGGTCAAGCAGCGGGTCTGGGTCTCGGACACGCTCTCGATGGGCGACAAAGTCCATCCAGCACTGCCTGCTCAGATCGCCGCACCGCTCTTCCAGTACGGCTCTGATAGTGAGCTGTTCCTCCCAACGGCTCTGATGAACGACCCTCGCTTTGCGGCGTGCAGGCGGCTGGCTGCCATCGAGCCGCGGGCAGGTGCGGACGTCGACGCCGAGGCCAAACGAGTGCTCGGGCTAGACCTCGGGCGGCTATTTCTTCAAGCGACCACTGCACCAGTGATACCGCTACTGGCAGATGTGCGACACGGTGCGCTTTCGGGGCCATCGGTTGTTGTGGCATGCATCCGGGCCGGCTGCTCGATGGCGACGCGGCACGCGCTTATGGACGCCTTTGTGGTCGATCGGGAGGCTATGGCAAGGATGGCGGCGTACGCTCCACTGGACGGCGGCTACCTCTCTCTTCCGGCCTGGATCCGCGATAGCCTCGAGGCGCATGCGGACGACACCCGCGACGCCGAGTACACCGTGTCAGACCTGCGCGAGTTGCGTGTACATGACCGGCTCTGGCTCTCGATCCAGGCAGTGTTCACTCGGCTCAAGGTCATACCTCATCCTGTCCTTCGTGGCTACTGGGCGTCGCGCTTTTTGCGATGGTTTGCTAGCCCGAGCGAGGCGTTTGCGGCGGCGATGGAGTTGTACGCAGTGACTAGAGGCATGCCCGCACTCGACGCGCTGTCGGTGGTCGAAGTGGCGAGCCCTGGTTTCGGACTCGGCACGCAGCCGGGAGCAGCAGAGGTCCCTGTGTTCGGGCGTGTTATCGAGGTGGATGCCAGCGTTGTGCGCGCGACACTTCAGATCGACTCGCTCCAACCGTATTTGGTTCATTCGTGATGTGCAGGGGAAGCTTATTGGCCGGGGTAGATGATGCGTCCGTTGACCGGAGCGACCCACACCGTCTCGTGTGTGGCCTTGGAGAAGTAATAGTATGCGTTGTGCGGCGGGCTCCACACAGCCTGCCAGACTTCTTCCTGAACAGGGGCCGGGGCCGGGGCGGGGGCCGGGGCCGGGGTCGGGGCGGGGGCAGGAGTTGGGGCCGGCTTGGCGGCGGGGATTGAAGTCGGGGCAGGGGCCGGCTTGGCGGCGGGGATTGGAGTCGGGGCAGGGGCCGGCTTGGCGGCGGGGATGGGAGTCGGGGCAGGGGCCGGCTTGGCGGCGGGGATTGGAGTCGGGGCAGGGGCCGGCTTGGCGGCGGGGATGGGAGTCGGGGCAGGGGCCGGCTTGGCGGCGGGGATCGGCGGGGCCGGGGCGGGGACGGCAGGCGCGGGCTTGGCTGCGGGGATCGGCGGGGAGGGCTTGGCAGCCGGAACAGGAGCTGGGGCCGGGGCAGGATTCGGTGTAGCAGCAACTGGCGACGGCATGGGTGGCGGCACATCGTCGACCGGGGGAGGGAAGGAAGGGATGGCGACAGGCATCGGCGGCGGGATGTCGTTGACTGGTGGCGGGATACCGGCCATCGGCGGCGGAAGGTCGTCTGCCGGCGGCGGGAACATGGGGATGCCACCTGGGACCGGCGGCGGAAGGTCGTCAGCCGGCGGCGGGATACCAGCCATCGGCGGCGGAACGTCGTCTGCCGGCGGCGGGAACATGGGGATGCCACCTGGGACCGGCGGCGGGAGATCGTCGGCCGGCGGCGGGATACCAGCCATCGGCGGCGGGAAGTCACCGGCCGGCGGCGGGAACATGGCGATGCCACCTGGGACCGGCGGCGGGAGATCGTCGGCCGGCGGCGGGATACCAGCCATCGGTGGCGGAAAGTCGCCGGCCGGCGGCGGGAACATGGCGACGCCACCAGGAACCGGGGCAGGCACGGCGTCGGGCATAGGCGGCATCATGTCCATCATGTCAGGGTCCGGCGGCGGTGGAAGGTCAAAGGCGTCGTCGGGTGGCGGCGGGAAGAAGCCAGCGGCGCCGTCCATACCAGGCAGCTGGACCTGCATCGCCGGGTCGCCAGGCATCATGACCGGCATAGCCGGCATAGCAGGCGCCGCCGAAGGCGGCGGGAAGCCGGCAATCGGTGCGGGCGCAGCCGCCGGTGGCGGCATGCCGGGGATGGGGGCACCCGCGCCAGGGGCGGCTCCCGGCACTGGCGCCGACGCTGTCGCCTCGCTCGACTTGGCGGCCAAGACCTCGGCCTTGGAGAGCTTTTTGCGGCCGGACCTCGTGGCGTCCTCGGGCTCAACGTTTTTCTTGCGTAGCTTGCGGGGCACGTAGCCGACAGTTGTTTTCGAGTTGGGATGGCGGACCGAGGTGGCGGACCAAAAGTTGTACTTGGCAAGCTCGTACTCTTCCATCTTGTCCTCCCACTCGACCTCTTGCTCCGGCGTCATGGTCTCCGGCTGCGGCGGCTTGACCGGCGGGATGGGCACGGCGTTCTCCTCGACGATCTTGGGGTGCTTGAGGTACGCCTCCTTGACCGCCTTGAACCAGTCAAACGTCTGCTTGGCATCCTGGCCGTGGAACGTGTACGTGACAATCTTCTCCTTGCCCTTCTTGGTTGGCTCGGCGTGGACAATGTCAAAGCCCGACGTCTCTTCGGCCGCAAATGCTTCCTCATGGGTGGTGGGGAAGATAATGCCCTTGACGTCGGTGAAGCAGATCTCGCCACGGGCTTTGCCCTTGTCAAAGTCCTCCTTGCTCTTGGCAAACGAGAAGACCTCGCCTGTCACCACAATGTAGTACTCCTTGAACTTCCTGTCCTCCACCAGCCGGGTTCGATGGAGCCAGGCCAGCCACATCAGCAGAAGCAGCAGCAGCAGCAGCAGCAGCAGCAGCAAGCGTCAGTCAGCAGCAAGCGTCAGTCAGCAGAAGCGAACAACCAGCCAGCCAGCAAGTAACCAGCAAGTAACCAGCAAGGACGCAGGCCCCCGCCGAACACCACCCAAGAATCACGTGAGTCTGCTTCCACCAACACCCACACCCATCCCATGACCAGTCAACCTCAGCCACCAGCCAGCCTAGGCCAGCAGAGCCGTGAGCAGCCCGATCTCGGCCAGCTGATGCGAAGCAAGCAAGCAAGCGACGTGAGAGTCAGCTTGGGCCGATGGGTTTAGCGGTTAGCGGCGTCGGACCACGTGCCCAGGTGTTCCAGAGGCACAACAGGAGCCACAAAGACAGCCACCGATCCACAAACACACTCCATACATGCACAAACCATGCATGTGGGTACGTGGATGGTCGGGAAGATGATAACTATCCATGGTGGCTCTCTATACCCATGGTTGTCAGGGCCGTCATGCGGTGGTTGCCCAATAGGCGGCGAAGCAAAAATTGGGTCGCACGTTCGTTGCCACGCGTGACGGAGAAAGGGGGGAGGGGGTGCAAGTAGGCAAGACGGGGAGGAGGGGGGGTATGGGTATGGGGAAGGTAATACATATGCCATGTGACGTACTTGAGCTTTGCCTTCTTCTTACCCTCTGAGGAATCGAGGTAGCCCACAATAATCTTCTTATTCCGTTGCTTGGCCTCCCATGACGTCCTGTAGCGGTCGTAGTCGGCGGACGACGACGACATTGGTGGGGAGTGAGGAGTGATGGGTGGGGTGCGGTGCGGTGCCGTGTTGCGGAGTTGGGTTGGGGGTTGGGGGGGGGGGGGAGGGGGGGGATGTTTCGGAAATTTGCTGGGGTGACTGGCGACTGGCGAATGTGGTTGCGATCCCTCGACAGGGAGGGGGGGGGGGGGGGGGGGGCGGGTAGCAGCTACCTCACTCTACTGACGGCACTCGGTACAAGTATGCAGTTCGGACGAGTCATGGTGGTGAGTGTAGCCGTTCTTGTGGTGGTGTGCATGTGTGCGCCGACTTTGGCTTTGGAGAACTACTACCATCTGCTTGGAGTCGAGCCGACAGCAACGCCCAAGCAGCTCAAACGGGCTTACCGCAAGCTGGCGGTGGCGCTCCACCCGGACAAGAACCCGGATCCTGATGCCGAGGACCTGTTTATCGCAGTTGCTGCGGCGTACGAGGTACTTTCGGACGAGAAAGAGCGGAGGAGGTATGATGATCGCCTCTCGCACTATCTCCGTACCGGAGAAGAGCTCCGTGAAGGCATCGACGACGTGCCCATGGATCGGTACGAGGCGACCATGATGGATCGGTACCGGACGCGGCAGAGACAGACTCCTGTGCCGACGGTGGTGGCCGGCATCCTCACGCTCCTCACTTTCTTCCACTACTCGGTCCGCATGTACAACTATCGCCACTACTATGGAAAGGCCCGCGAGGCTGTGGTCAAGATCAAGGCCTCGGAGCTGAAGAAGGAGCTCAAGAAGAAGGATCTGTCCAAGAAGGCGCTGCGCAAGGCCAAGAAGAAGCTGAAGGCTCAGCAGGCGTCTGTCGACGAGAGCATCGATGAGAACGAGATTCGCGTCTTTGGCGCAGAGTACCCCACCTGGGAAGAGCTGCTCTTTGTTCGCTTCCTCCTCCTGCCCAAGGCCGCCGTCGACGGCCTCATCCGGGTCTGGCACCACTCCATCATGGGCCACCCGCGCCCGCTTCACCACGCCTTTCCCCACGGCGTCGACCAATGCAACGAGTTTATCAACAACTACTACACCATGGGCCGCAAGCGGCAGGACATGCTCCTCGAGCACTTTGCCAACCAGGGCTACGACGTCTCGGAACTGCTCGATGGCGAGGACGAGACCGACGCCGTTGAAGAGGATGTCCCGCCCGAGATCAAGCTGTAACTGGCTCAGCCGCCCAGTCGGTGCCGCAGCGGCACCGCCCGCTCCACGGCATCGACGTCAGCCAGCCGCCGCACCGACGGCGTTGCTTCCACCGGCCGGTGGAATCCGCGCTGGTAGTACCCGCGCCGCGGCGGTGAGCCCAACGGCGCCCACCGAAGCGGCGGCTCACCGCTGCCTAGTGCCGCTGTCCGCTTGCTGGGCGTGCTGCTGCCCTCGATCGCTGCGGCCACGGCCGCCGCTGGCACCTGCAGTCCTTCCGCAAGCAAGTCCTGCATCAGCAGCTCGCACTCGTCGTCATCGGCCGGATTCACAAGAGTAAACGCATCGTCCGACTCGCGGCAGCAGCCTTCCGTCTCCGTCTCATCTACAGCGGCGGCGGCGGCAGCCAGCTGCGCTTCCCGCTCAGCAAGTTGCGCCTCGCGGGCCGCCAGCTCGGCCTCGCGAGCCGCGAGGGCCATCGCTCGGAGGTGCTCGTCGAGCGGCGACGGGCTCAGTGCCCGAGCCGGCCGCACCGGCGTCGGAAGAAGCTCCGGCCCACATGCCGCGCGGACCATGCTCAGCACTGCGTCCGCCTCGTGGAGTGAAGCCTGCAGAGCACGCATACCGGTGTCTGGCGGAGAAACCGAGTCCTGTCGAGCTGTACGGTGAGGCGACTCGACCGCGGTGATGGGCGAGGCCTGCGGCGAGGCGTGGCGGCGCACAGGACATTGTCGCGGTGGCGACCTGCGCACTGGCGTCTCTTTCGTGTCCAGCTTGTCCATGCCAGCGCGGACAGCTACTAGGCATGCGCGAGTGGTCACCATCTCAGATTGCAACGTCATGGACGCCGTCACCGGCTCTGCGGCCTGCGACAGTGCAGACGCCGCGTTGACGAGCTGGAGCGAGGCCTTGTTGACCTCGGCAATGTGCGCCAGCAACTCAAGCTTGGCCGAGCAGTGCGGAAGCGCACGGGCGCGGTCCGACGCCTCGGCCACCGTGAGCATGACATCGTTAATGAGCTGAGTAACCTCACGGCGGACTCCGAGGTCCTTGTTTGACGCTGTCCGAGCAGCACGTCGCTTCGGATTGTGGTCGCGCAATGCCCGCGACCGCGGGCCCAATGCAGGCGCAGTCGGAAACACAAACGCTGACGACTCGGACGTGGCGGTGAGGACCGAGCCCAGCGAGCCGAGCGATATCGACCGCAGCAGCTCACCCGCGCTCAAAACCGCTCGGACTCGTCAGCATCGGCGTCGCGGGCGCGAGCCACAAGCTCGGCGACACTGTCTTCGCTGTCGAGAACCACAGAGGAGATGACCCGCCGGTGATGAAGGTCGTGACTACTCGCGCTCTCGTAGCCGTCGTCGCTTCCAGGATCCTGCTCGTACTCGTAATTGTCATTGCCGTCACCGTCGTCGCCATCGTCTTTGCCGCTCTGCTCGTAGATGTTCTCGTAAGTGTGCTCGTAGGTGTGCTCGTAGGTGTGCTCGTAGGTGTGGGCAAGAACAAGGTCTTCGCCGTAGAACTGGTCCGACGCCACGTCGCCGTCGTCACCTGTGGCTGGGACCACTGCCCAGGCATCGGAGCCCGAGCCCTGCCACTCCCCAGTCCCCTCACGCGAATCGGTGGCGAGCGGGTTTGGGAGGTCAGGTGGGATGAGCGGCCGTGACGGCGAGGGCAGCAACAGGTCATGCTCGTCGCCGTCGCTGTCGGGCTCGTCATCCGAGTCGAGGCGTGAGCCGTCGGCGTCGGAGCCGCTCACCTCGCCCGTGAGCGTCGGCGCTGTAGGCTCGTCGTCGCCGTGCGCAAGCGCGGCAAGCGCCTCCAACAGCTCGGCCGTCTCCATGTCAGGCATGACCGAGTCCGGCATGTCATCAAGAGTGTTGCCCCCGAGCGAGACGACCGAGAGAATGCCACCGGCAAGCGCTCCGAGTGAAAGTGGCAGCGTCTGCAGCATGTTGCCATCGAGCTGAAGCATGCGAAGGCTGGTGAGCGAGTCAAACACGTCTGGGAGCTCAAGCAGCGCGTTGTGACCGACATTGAGCGAGACGAGGCGTGCCAGCGCGGAGAGCCGATCGCTCACCGCCGACAACTTGTTATGCGACAAGTCGAGCGAGGTCAAGTTTTCCAGGCCCATGATGTGTTCATCACCACTAGCAATGGCGTTATGCGAGGCATCGAGCTTGGTGAGTGCAGCTAGGCCGGTGAGGCCTGAGTTGAGACTCTTGATCCGGTTGTGTGAAATGTCCAGGATCCGCAGGTGCTTGAGCATGCCGAGCGTCATTGGCACCGACGGCGACAGGTCGTTTCGGGCCACCCGCAGCGTCTCGAGCATGGTAAACTGCTCAAAGCCGACCGGGAGCATCTTGATGGGGTTGTCGTGGACGTTGAGTTCCACGAGCGACGACGCAAAGGTCAGCAGGTCCTTGGGCAGCCGGCCGAGACCGTTCGAGCCAAGCGTGAGCGACTTGAGCTCTCTACCGAGCTTGAGCAACGGCTTTGGCAGTGCAGCCGGGGAGAGCGGAACATTGAGGAGAACTACCGTGCCGGATCCCGAAGTCTTGGCCACGGCCGTCGCCTTCTTTACCGCAGCGTTCACCTCCTTGGCCGTCATGCCTCCATCGGCCTTGCCCCGGCCCTTCTTTCCGCTCTTGCTACTGCCACGACTTGACCGACAGAAGAGGCCCATGAGCTTTGCCTCGAGCCCTTACTGGCAGAACAGAGCGGAGTGGTGTGGGGGGTGGGCTGTGTCTTGCGTCGGTGGCCGTTGTTATGCGAGCCGTCGTCGCTCAACTGCCGAATGACGTTTGGCGGTTTCGCCTCGCGGTCACCACTCGCGCGCGAGAAAGCTGTCGAGATCATGGGCAAACGCAAGCGCGCGCTCACCAAGAGTGGCGCCGGCGTAGTCAGTGACTAGAGCCGATGTTCCAATTCCACGGGCAAAAGCTTCGCTGAATGAGAGGAGAAGCGCAGCGCTGGCCCCGTGGCGCGCCATGAGAGTCTCCTCCATGAGCACGACCGCGAGCGCGGCGTGGACCGGCTGGGCAAGCGGCAGGCTATCGGCGTGACGGCTGTCATCATCGGAGTCGTCGTCGACGTCTGTCGAGGCGTCATCGTTGACAGGGCCAGCGCCAAAGGACGTGCCGCCGTCGAGCGCACAGATGACTTTGGCGCAGCGAGCGAGGGTGTCGAGGTCGGCGACGCGGATGAGCCCGCCACGCGCGCGTTGGCTCTGGTAGTAGCGGTCGAGGAGGTCCGAGGCCGGCGTCGAGAGGGAAACAATGCGGGCAAGATCGGCCTGGCGGGCAACAGCCTGGGCGTGCCAGAGGAACCGAGTTCCAAAGTCGACGCGGCCATCAGGCTCCAGCTGGCTCCCGAACCGGGCAGCCATGTACTGCTTTGAGCTCGAGCTGTGCGGAATGTAAAAGACAAGGTGAGCGTGCGGCGCGATGTGGGCAGCGACAATCTTGGAAGCGAGATGGAGCCGAGTACGACGGGTGGCACTCGGCAGTGGGGCGACGACCCGGCGCGACGACGAAGCAGCGAGGTCGACAAAGTCGTCACAGCAGATGGAGCCGGGGCCAGGACCGGAGTCGGAGCTTGCGGCAGCGGTCGTGAGTGCCCACACCGAAGCCGGGACCGCCAGAGAGTCTGCGCCGTGCTGGGCGCGCTGAAGTGGGACCCGTGCGGCCGACATGATGAGGCCGATCTGGCAGGCGTCGGCCTTGCGGACATGGTCGGCGTGTGGGAGCGCGATGACGCGGTGGGAGCAGAGCGGGAGTGCGCCCGACCGCGACCAGCCCGACTTGGACACGTCGGCGCTAATGCTGGTTTTGAGCGTGGTCGAGGCGAGGACAATGGCTGCGGTAGAGGCGCAGACCTCGCCGACGACCACATCGCGGACGCCTGCGTCGTCGGCCGAGGTCACAACAAGGACATGGGTAGCCCACAAAGCGGCGGCAGCGGGCGCGTCGACGCTACGCCCACCTGCCGCACTTGCTACTGCCGAGACGACCAGACCGAGCTGGAGAAGGAGGAACGGGCAGGCGTGGATGAGCGCCGGATCGCTAAGAATGGAGGGGAGCGGCGCAAGGCACGGTGAAGGGAGCGGCGGGGGAGCGGCGGCGGAACATGATTGACCGAGGCGGTGACAACCATCGGCGCGGCGCGGATGCTGTCGGCCTCCTCGATCCGTCCAATGCAGGTGATCCACTGGCCAGGCGCAAGCTTGCGCGGGGCGATGCCAAAGGCGTGCGGATCGCCGGCCACAGGTGTGATGACCACGAGCAGGGTCCGCGCCGCAAACGGCGAGGCGTCAGCACGGACAACCAGCGCGTGGTGGTGGGCGACGACGGCGCGGGCAGAGAGATCCTCGACAACCCGAGCGCCACAGCCCGGACAGACGAGGCTGGCTGCGGCTGTCCGTGAGCGGACCAGGGTGCCCGGGTGGTGGCACTCGAGCCGCGGGCAGGTGAAGCAGTGCCCGACTGCGGCTTCAGCGGGTGGGCCGACTTCCCACACCAGCGCATGGAGGTGGACAATGCGCCCAAGCCTCTGCGGCGTCCGTGCCGCCACACTCGACGCCGCCGGCCAGCTGGTGAGTGAGCGGTGGACGTGGATGTTAACGCCGGCAATGCCCGGCATGCCGAGGAAACGGGCGACAGAAGACGCAAGCGCGGCATTGCCTGCCTGCCAGTCGAGCGAGGACTCGGTGTCAGTCGGAAGAAGCGCATGGCCAAGCTCAGCTGAGAGTAGAAGAACAGCAGCGCATGATGGGAGTGAGTGGAGAGGGTGGGAAGCACGATCTGAGGGTGGGAAGCACGATCTTTTTGTAGCGAAGAGAGAGGCCAGACCAACTGCGGCTTTTTCCTGAGTTTGGCTATTTTGGCGATTGATCGCGATCGCGATTGCGATCGCGGGCGCGGGCGTGGCAACAACGACCCAGGGGATGGGGATGGGGGCAAGAGCGAGCGTACGGTCGACATGCAGCATGTTCATGGCATCGATGGCGAGAGCGATGTGGAAGACGGTGAGGTGGACAGGAAGAAAAGCGAGGTGATCGCGAGGCACGGCGCGACGGCGGCGCGGCGACGACGGTGCCGGTGGCGCGGGGGAGGCGGTGCCTGGGCCAGCGGCAGACACCGACTGGACGGTGGTTGCGACGGCGTCGCCGAATGCATCCAACTCAGAGCGGTGAAAGCTGGCGAGGTAGGCGTCGATGCGGGCGTCGAGGGTGAATGCCATGTGAGATGGTGCGACGGGCGGAGACAAGTTACGGGCCGGCCAGTAGATCGGACTCTGGCGAGGGTTCGGTGACGGGCGGCTCGGCGGAGGGTGGCGGTACGGGAGCGGGAAGATCGTTCAGTTGAAGCGCTTCGTCTTTGCAAGCATCGATTTCCACGAGGCCGTCTGCGGCGTCGGTGGAGAGATGGTCAGACGACGGCGAGCGCGGAACGGGATCGGGTGCCGGAACGGGAGAAGCGCCACGGATGCTAGACAGCGGAGTCATGGCGACGTAGAAGATGGCCGTGGAGGCGGTGGAGAGCATGTAGCCAGACTGACCACGGGTGTAGGCGATGTCGAGGTAGTCGTCAATAAAGTAGAGCTGCGGGACGAGGCGGTGTATGATGGGAGCAGAGACGGCTGCCCAGCACATCATGGGGACAACGTCGTCGGCAGCAAAGGTGACAGTGGTCCGCTCAGTGCGGACATGATGGAGAGCAAGCTCGCTGATGGCGGCGGTGACAAAGTGTGGGGCGACCGACGGCTCGGCCGACGAGATCTCAAAGACCATGCAGCCGAGGCGGTCGGCGAGAGTGGCAATGAGGTCGGCAGCAACGACACGGTCATCGACGCGATCGGCATGGGTCCCAACCAGGGCCACGTTGAGCGAGGAGAGCGAGGTGTTGCGGGCGGCAGCGACACGGGCCGCCAACTGCTCAACGTGCATGAACGACGAGTATGAGACGAGCGAAAAGACAAAGACAAACGAGGAGACCGTGTGGATCCAGTCGGGGATCTGGTCAGCAAAAAAATCGGACGATGGCGTGTCAACAAGCGTCAGCGGCAGCTCGCTGTCGTGGCTCTCAAGGCGGAAACGGGTGGTAACAAGGTCCGGGCGCGGCGTAGGATCGTAGTCGGCATCAAACGGGAGGCCGGCTACCGACCGAACAAGAGTGGTCTTGCCGACACCACCGGCGCCAAGGACGACCATAACTTGTGGCGCGAGGACAGCAGCCGCATCGGTGCGAGCGATGTGTTCCGCAACGTCAGCAGTGAGCTTCTCGATGCCATGAATGAGCGCCTTGAGCTTGCGGACCGGAAGCGCGTGGTTTGCCATGGTAGCAAGTGCATCGGTGAGTGCGGTTGAGGCGAGGAAGCCGTCGACAAACTTGTCAGAGAGGCCAAGGTCGTGGGGAGACATGTCGGCCATACCCGCGGCATTGGCCTCAAACCGGGCATGCTCCTCGGCGTGTGCAACGCTGTAGAGATCGAGGAGCGCCGGGTAGAAGAGCTCGATGAGAGCGTCACGGACCGAGGCGCGGACCTGGTCTTGGAAGGCGTCGGAGGAGGAGGTGAGGATGGCAAAGGTTGCAAAGAAGGCGTCCGCAACCGTGCCGGCGGCTTTGTCGACAAAGGCACGAGCATCGCGGAGTGCTTCGCGGACAGCAGTCGGATCAAGGCGCCCGGCGGCCGCGTCGGCCTCGGCTGGTGCCACAAAGAGCTCGACAAAGTCAGCTTTGCAGCTCGCGGCAAGCCAGCCAAGCGGGTGGCGGATGCGGCCAAGGAGAACCGGGAGGTATGTCTTGATCTCGGAGAGCGCCGAGCGCTCGCGAGCAAGAACGGCATTCATGGTCACGTCGAGGCCGGCCATGATCTCCTCGCGGTTGCGGACAAGGAAGCAGTGCGTGACTACTCGGTGGAGCCAGGCGCGGTCGGCCTCGACAAGCGCGGCCATCGCCGGCGAGGCCATCATCGGAGGCAAAGCGTACGATCTGCTCCACATGGCGGAATCCAGCTCGTCAGCCCACTCGCAGGCCTCGACGCGATGACGGATGTCAGCAGCGCGCTCGAGCGCAGAGCGTGGATCGTTGGAGCTGGACAATGTGGGCGACGATGGCGGTGCGACAACGTGCTCGGCCGGGGCTTCAGCCTGGGCTTTCAAGACATGCCGAGGACCAGCAGCAGGCCCTGACTCGCTGGGAAGATCGGCGAGCGCTTCGCCACGACCATCTGCGGCAGCGATGCGCTCTGCGAGATCGGTAAAGAAGATGATGACGTTCTGCCAGTCTGGCTGGAGATTGTTCTTGTGGTACTCGCCAAACTCCTTGACATAGGCACGTGTCAGTCGGTAGAAATCATTTTCGATCTCTTCCTCACTCTCTGCCGATGCAAACATAAACGAACAGATGGACGACACCACACGAAAGCGAGAGAAGCCCAGCAGCCGCGAGCCGAATGCTGCGCGAGGGACAAGAGCGGGACGTGAGTGCTTGCCAATGAAATGAAATGAGGGTGAGCATGGTGGGGGAGAGAATGCTGGCAGTGTCACATACCCAGGGAAGGGGATTGTGTGGTAAAGTAGTTGTTGCTCAGCTTGGCGTTCTTCTTCCAAGCAAAGCCTGTGCCGAGGACGGGCTCGGGGACGACAAGCATGGTGCGACAGGTGGTGGCAGGCGGTCGCAAGGGGAGCGATGGCTTCATTCGAGTCGGTACATGAGCTCATTGGAGAGGATGATGTCGCGGGTGTTGAAGACAAGGGAAGGGATGGGGTTGCGGACGGGGGCACGAGGCGTGGCAGGTGATGCGACCGGCTGGGTGGCGGAAAGCTTCGGGGTGACAGACGACAAGGTGCTGCGGTTGCGGGCGATAGTCTCGTTGTAGCGCTTGGCGGCGGCGAGGATGGGATCATCGACGGCGACGGGGCCGTGCGAGTCAGGGGTGGAAGTCGGCTCGAGATCGGAGACAGGAGCGGCGGCGGCTCGTGTGAGGCCGATAGTGAGGTTCGAGAGGGTGCAAGTCGAGGTCGTGGCGTCCGGGACAACCGGGTGTGCGTCGAGCGGGAGATCAAGCTTGTAGAGAGTGGCGGGCGCCGAAAAGGTGTGAAAGGCAACGACAAGGCGGGTAGGTGTCGACTCGACCGAGAGCGTCGACCGGTTGATCGACGCGATGGGAATGGTGACGGTGAGAGACGTGGCCGTGAGGTCAATCGTGTGGCTCGGGCGCTCATGGTCGGCGTCTGGTGTCCGGGCCGGCTCGGGAGTTGGCTCGGGAGTCGGCTCGGGAGTCGGCTCGGGAGTTGGCTCGAGAGTCGGCTCGGGAGTTGGCTCGGTAGTCGGCTCAGACGCAGGGAGCTGCGGAAGCTCGCCGGGTACAACTTTCATCTCGAGGCGGAGGGTGCGCGAGGCGGTGATAAACTGGGCACGAGAAAACTCGTCATCGACAGGAAACGGGAGCGCGACATGGAGCTCGTAGAGGTCAGGAACAGAGAGCGAGACCGAGCCTTCGTCGAGCTCCAGATCGATACCTCCGGCCGACGCGCACTCGGGTAGCTCGATGGAGAGAACGAGCTTGGCCGGGCGGGTGCTGCGGGAGGCAACACGAGTCATGAGATGGTCACGCATGTCAAAGGTGCCCTGATGGACGAGCTTGTAGGACGGAGTGGTGAGGCTTGGGGTGCTTGGTGCAGCCGGGCCGAGATCCTCGATGAGCGGCGACGGGGCGGGGGCGGGAGCGGGAGCTGGGGCGGGAGTGGAGTTGGAGGTGGGAGTGGGGGCGGCGAAAGCGGCGGCAGCGGCGGCGGCAGTAGAAGCGGAAGGGGTAGAGCCCGATGAGGAGCGGATGACCGAGGGGCGGGCGACACCAAAGTACTTTTTGTTGCGGAGGACGACGAGCTTGTCAGAGCCGGGGCGGAGGAGCTCTACGTTGTAGGCGTCGCGAATAGCGTCGATGGCGGTGAGGATGAGGGTGTCGCGGAGACGCGACGGCATGTTGTCCTTGTTGGCAAGGGCAACGGTATCGGGATGGAAGGCGACGTCGTAGACGGTGACCTCGTTGCCCGACTTGTCCACATCAGTGCGCGACGAAGTCAGGGCGTAGGGGAAAGCCCAGTGGACACCCCCATCCGAAGGCGTGGGAACAGCCGGATCAATGCCATCGGCGATCGCCATGTTGATAAAGACCTTGTCCTCATCATCGCCGGCCACGTAGGTCTTGACCACGAAACCTGGACGAGGATGGAGAAAGGCGACGTCACCATTGCCGGCTTCCTTCTCCATGGCGATCAGTTCCGCCTCACGAGCAGCAAGCGTAGCAGGATCAGAAATCTCCCGCACATACTCTAACAGCAACTCGCGGAACTCGGGCTTGTCCAGGGCTTCTTGAAGGCGGATGCTCTCCTGTGGTGGGTGTGGACGGGGAGGGGAGGAGGAGAGGGGGGAAGGGTGAGTGTCCCGCGGGGACGGGGGGGGGGGGGGGGGGGGGGGGGTTAGGCG